GTCATCATAAACGGGCATAAATCAGGCTACTCGTGAGTAGTCAGAAAAGAAAACCGCTAATCACGGTTGTTTCAGAGGAATCAGCATGGCTCCTCAATTTTTTCCGTCCATTATTCGGAATGTATCGGATGCTGTTTGACTGGCTAGAAAAATCGAATGAAATTATGTCTTGGCTTTTCCAGCATTTGGAAGAGGCTTGCGACTGACTGGGAATTCATCGTTTCAAAGGGGTTTGGCAAACAATCCACCACATGTCCACAGCACCCTCGTATTTTAGCTTATTTTCTGAGTGTTGTGCATTTCATATTTGTTTGGGCTACACATGTAAACAGTCGCCAGCTCTGAACTGTTATCTCAAAGGGGGTCAGGAGATGAGAATGATCCGAAAATTCATTCTTTCGATAAACTGGTTTCATCCGATTAAAAAATGAAAGCAAACTTAGAATAATCTACACGGTATTTTATAGAATGTAATTCGGAGCTGCAGTATGTATAATCGACTGGACCCCACAGTCAATCGTGAATAAGAATGAAGGTATCCCAGCTCGTCCGAATACGACGGAATGTAATGGTTGGATCGATTTCGCAATAGCATGAACGAAACGCAAGTTTACTAGTTCACCCGAAATCGCTAAAAGAAGGGTAATATTGTAAAGAGGCGACAGTAGATACAAATCTCAAACGGTGTAGCGGACCTTTGAATTCCACACAACAGTCACAACATGCTACTAACGGCTGCTTACTAGCCATTGTTTGTAAACTGGCAGCAGTGGGGCATTCGAAACGCTGGAGAGAATTGGCACTCTCCTGTGTGCGAAGGGTCCGGTTTTACGTGTCGATAGAATGAAAAAACGAGATCGCCTCGGTTCTCACTGTACCCTTGAGGATGTGCGCTATCCTAGTGCATCAGTTTTAGTTGCATCGAATTCCTAGGTTGATTTTTAGATCCACCGTTCACTTGTTAGTGAAGCTTGCGTCCTACTGAATGAAAACAGGGTCAAAGGCTATGTTATTTATCCTCAGCTAACATATCGGTATGTGACATTTTGAACCAGTTCTGATTGCTGCGACTTCAGCAATTTAGACAACGTTAGTAATGATAATCCGTACTGATAAGCCCAAGAGTCGGATGTAGTTCAACACAGTTGTAATTGAAACTTGGGGCCCAAAGTGTCATGAATGGTCATCCCGAAGATTACCCTCGTCACAGCAAATAACTCCATATGAATGTCTCTGCCATGCTCAATTATTACTTACCTACAGCATTGTGTCGCTCTTGTTGTCTCCTCCAAAAACCTAAAGATCGCGAACTTTGAATCTTTTTATATGCCGGAAAATGATGTATTTCGCGGTGCTCGGGTCTAGAATCACTAGAAAGTTTGGTAGGATCGAGAATGCATCCACTAAGCACAGGATTGGTTCGTTGGCCCACGGATGCTGCATCGTCATACTGCAAAGAGTACGGAGTTGCTTGATCAGATGATGTAATGGCGGTGAGTGTGTGGCCTCGAAATTTGTTTCGAAAAATGCACTGGCCACCTTATGTAAGGCGTCACGTAGTTGCAACCTGGTGTCAATGCTGACAGCATCTCGCATCTTAAGCCGAAGAGAGAAAATCGAAGTTGTTAAAGCACAAACATGAATGGTACCGTAGTTTGAATCTGCCTACGTGTGAAGTGAAGCCATTCGAAGAGGCTCTGAGGGCGATTGATCTATACGGAAATATAAATATTTTTGGAGTTGAGCCGATCCTAATTTAAAATAACTGACAGTATTCACAACATTATGTAGAACTACAAAACTCAGCTAAAGTGTATGATGCTATGCTGTTTCACTGAGGATCTAAAGTACCCGTTTGTTACAACCTGTGTTTCTGAGGTACACTTATTTGAGAAATAAACTAATTTGCAAATCAATTTGGTTTTGACGAGAGACTCGACTGAATCTCTCGTTTGTTATTCTACAACTGAAAATGCTGCACACAGACCGCCTCAGGATTCATTTGGCACGATATTCGAGACATCGCAGTATATTTTCATAGGATAACATTAACGAGAGCTTCAGTTGAGTCTCTCGTGAAAACCAAATTGATTTGCAAATGAGTGTATTTCTCTTAAACAGTCCAATTTGGGTCCAAGTAGGACATAAGGTTGACGGAAACTCGGGGATTGCGACTACCTGATAAGCCCCAAGAAGGGCGAAACCGGTCGTGGGTTGTCGAAGAGTTTCCAGCAAGTGAGTGAGTAGTTTCCTTGATGGAAATATACTACACTTATTTGACTTTTCCAATCGTTTAGTCTAGATTAGTTAGTGTAAAATTTCAGTGTTCTGTTTTTCTCATCATCTATGTTCTTTTTCGATTGGACAACGAACAGTAATGGAGTCTTAGTGCATCTAGGTCAAAGCTGCTTCTGCAGGCATACTGAATATGTAGTGAACAAACCCGGGAACAAGCCATTACGGGCTGAATACGGCTTCATCTAACTGATAAGAACCAAATGGTAGTCTAGAAGTTAGATGATTCATGCAAATAATCTGGTTCAACTATCTTTGAAAGGAATGGTTTACCTTCAGCAACATTTGGGACCCACTTATTTGGCGTCAGCTTGTTAGAGCAAAGCGGTCAAGTTAAGTAGGAATGGTATCCTTGATAATGATTTTAGACCTGTTGCACATCTGTTTCTCTTGCCATATTGTGAGCGCCCTACCCACTCTTGGGATGGGAACATCCACAGCCCGTCGATGCGAGACCAAAATAATAAGGCCCCAGTATGGTAGGAATGGTATCCTTGATAATGATTTTAGACCTGTTGCACATCCGTTTCTCTTGCCAATTCACTCTTGGGAACATCCACAGCCCGTCGATGCGAGACCAAAATAATAAGGCCCCAGTATGACTGCGTGTTGCTACCATGTCCCTTCGGCCGAAGATCACTGATACAGGGTTGCCTAGAGATGCCGGTATGGGTACCGACTGACAAATGTGGAGGAAAAATTACAGCATGGAATAAATGGGTTACGTTTGTGGCCGGACCTTCCGACGACAACAAGTGAAGTTACTGCCGTCACTACTAACGACTCTGACGCAAATGTCAAAATGTTGGCAATATAAACTGAACACTGAATTACGGTAAAAACTAATGATAAACGAATTCGGTACACACTTCCCGGTGTTTTGGAGTAATTTTCACACAAACCTTCACAACAGCAACACAACAGAACACTTTAATTCAGCAGTCACTAAACCGCACTGGAACCCACGTACTGAATTACGGTAAAAACTAATGATAAACGAATTCGGCACACATTTCCCGGTGTTTTGGAGTAATCTTCACACAAACCTTCACAACAGCAACAGTTATCTGAACGGAACACTTTAATTCAGCATTCACTAAACCGCACTGGAACCCACTTTGCCCAGTTGAAAGGTAGGGTCTTATCCTGTGAATAGTCAGCGGAAGGTACCAGTCTGGTCTTCCATGTATTTGAGGTTTGTTCACTTTGAAAAATTGAATGATCTCCTTTGTCTACTTGACGTAGAGGTTGTTCACATCGATAACGATGCAACGATGTAAGCTCCAACTCCCCAATCCAATGCATATGCCAAGAATAACATAGGATATTCGGATCATACAAAATCATCTCTTCCTAGCGCTTTGAGCGTGACCACTCGAGTGTTCCGCTCAAACAGATATGAGTCAGCTCGGTACCACGAGTGGACTTTTCACTAAGTACTGATTCTAGGGATGAAGCGTTCTTGTAACAGTGTGCCATTTCCTCAGCTAAACTTTCTACTGTAGTGATTAACTTAACCGTTATCTATAAATCATCTGGTTTCTAGAATGCTTCTACTCTCTGTCTTTCTCATCCACTAATTCGACCACAAAGGGCCCTAAGGCGGTGTAAATTTATTCGGAATTGTTTGAGAATGGTTTCGGTTTTCATGCGCATTTCCAGTGCACCAATTTAGTACATGTACAACCCAAAAAAATTCTAACCTCGGAAGTGAAGCTCCACTATGACTGTCTCCACACGTTGTTGTGAGCTGGTCGTGAGGTCCAGTGGTTGATTGGACGTCCCACAGCTTGCTAATAAGGAATTGTAAGCACACAATAACGCTGATCTACAATCAGTGATATTTAGTGTAGTGATGAACTTTGTGCAAATGTAGGCCGTCGCATATATCTTATATTCCATCTAAATTTATTTCGATCCACTTGCAGATAAATAAGTGGTTTTTCACTTATCTGCCCGAAATTCTGCTATGTGAATACAGTTTGTAAGAAACCCCAATTGAAACACTGGTGGTCGCTCAATATTTTACGCGGCTTACTCTGCAAGCCATGCAACAAATCGCACTATGTGGCAACATGCTGGGCAACGGGAAGTGCATGAATGCGTTATCCTAAATTGGACAGCTGTTGGTCTAAAAGCTTCCCCTCCTCATGGCTGACCAATAGGAGGACAGCGCTAACATGCTTTTTCACCCCTTTGCGCTAAATGTCCACTTGTTTGGATGCTGATTGGTCAATGCGATCTGTGATCCGCAGACGGCAATTTCGAAATGGGATTTGCGTGGATCACTATATTGTCAAGATTTGTTCAGTGTTCGGGTGATAATCTAAACTCACTTACATGGACACTGATGAGACATACATGATGAGATTACAGACGATGGCGATGTCACATCTAATCCAAACTCTTGACTATGCATATAATTCCTATCGTGCTCTCAGCATTTTCTACCCAGCTCAGTTTGACCTACTTTCATGTAGCACAACTTACAAAGGTGCTGAGGAATTGACCTCTATAGGTCCGACCTGTGGTGGTCGATCTTCCTCCAAGTTAAACAAACCGAGTCTAAAGCGAAATAGTTTCTTTGTGAACGACATACTAGATCCTGATTTCGGTAGGTCAGCTGTGGCCGAAAGTGACCATCAAGAGGGCAGCACCACAGCTGATATTGAGTTGGAATCACCAGACGATATATGGACAACTCATTCAAAGAGAATCCCGAATGAAAGCCTGGTTTGGGACAATAAAACATCTAGTGCCACCTCCACGTCTTCTTTCACGAGCCCGGACTCACACTCAGCTGAGGAGACCAGAAGTGCCAAGAATATTCTGGACAACACGAGTTATGCTTCGCAACAAAACGTACTCTCTCCACTGAACAAATCAAATCTCCCAGCTTGGGTGTTCTGCACTCGTTACTCTGACCGGCCGTCATCAGGTGAGTCAGATGTTCTTGGAAATTACTGCACCTGTGCTATGAAGAATAAATCCGACACACGGGGTATGCAAGTCATATCACGGACTACAAATGCGCGCCAGTAAGAAGCATTTTGCTGAAGTAGCTTCCACAACAAATCATTCGTTTTTATTACGAGCTCGGCTTTTGGTGCTTAAATTCCATTAATACTGGAGGCGATAACACGTAGTGGATCATTGAGCTGTATCACTGACACGGCTTTCAGCCCAGCGAAGAAACCAAAGTTCAGAAATGTGCGTGTCTGGATGACATATATATCTATTGGTTTATTATTATCATTATTATACACTATTATGTGTTATGTCATAATATTATTATAATGTTATATACTACGCCAATTGTGGAGTTACCGTACGTACCAAGTATAGTCCTGGAATGAAATGAGATTCCATTAAGATTGAGTCGTACTGCAACATCCTTTTTCATTGAACACGAAGTTTTACACGTTGAACTGGATGAATATAGGTATAGAATTTCTCATTTCGGGGCGTGAGTAAGCTCCGTAGGTTTCTATTGGGTGTTCTTCATCGAATTTATTCGGTCTAGCACGCGCGCAATCACCATCTGTGTATAAACAAATAGTTCATAGTTGTAGAATATCATAAACGAGAGATTCAGTTGAGTCTCTCGTTAAAACCAAACTGATTAGCAAATGAGTGTATTTCTCGAAAATAGTTCATACCATTTGGTGGTAGAACGGTGTCACTAGAACGTCAAGCTCCGCAATTCATTGAGGAAATTTCGTTCAGTTTTCTAGATATTGTTTGAGAATTCATACAATGTACAAAAGCACAACACCAACACTCCAACTTGTTATGTATTGATTATTGTTGATTGTTGTTATCGATGCCTTTGAATAAATGGGTATTTTTTCGTGAACCAGCAACTGACAACTCTTGATTGGCCGAGTTAGGAGATGATAGAACACACTGTGCAGTGTGGATATTCCTGATTTGTATTTGTGTCGCTCTATCGTGATAAACGAAGGCTAATTCATCGGTAGGAACATTGAAACAGCTCCCAACAGATTAACTACACACATTAGATCGGCTGATTAGGATAGTGAAGCTGATGGAGTCAACTTATCCAAATGGCTGATAAAAAATGGTTTCAAAATTACACCACTAGGGTTCGGAGTTCTGCTCTTTTACTTTCATCGGTCGCGTACACAAAATAAGGACGCTGTAGAAACAGGGAAAGGTCACGTGTTGCAGAGTGGTCAGGAAACTGTTTCCGTGGTAATCAATCCTATTCGATAAGAATACCTTGTGTACATGGTACAACTTGATAAATAAAACTCGTGAAACATTAGAATAGTGAATTAAAAGTAGCCGAATTAAAAATCTAAGAAACACCACACTAGTTTTATGGCTAGTTTGGACTCACTGGTATTGTATATCATAAGTAGTTCTCCAGGTATTGATACTACCAAACTTTCAGGAAGTCCATCACCCTGACTAGTTATGATTACTATGTCTGCGTTAAATAACCACTCGTTATAATGGTGCTTCCGGTTCTCCACATTTCTGGGCTTGAACGTTAGTGGACAATATAATAATTTGGGGTTGCAATGTGACGTTTGTCTCCAAAAGTCTTAAGTGGGCGAATGCCTTTTCACCAGCGCCCGTTTCCTATTTGGATTACCGGGAACATTTACGGCATCCGAAAGATGATTCGTTAATCTCGTCAGCAGGCCAAAAGAGCCTGATTTTTTGAGATCTTGTCATCATCAATGCTTGCATGGTTTTGGATGCACTCAACAACCTGAGGTTGCTGTTTATCCTACAGAATGTTAGGACAAAGGTGATAACCTTTCGCCGTGTTCCCATATGTAGACCTTCTCAAGCTCCTGGACAAAGTGCACTTGTTGGAATACGGCGTCACCACAAGGTCTCTTTTGGCTTCTGAACTCTTCTTAGAGTGTCCCTCAGGACACAGCTATATACTTGTCGCCTTCAGTGCCTTCCAGATCTGCAGTTTCTTCCGACTGCCGAGTCTGCTTTCCATGAAGCCTTGCCTTTGATGTAACATCAGGCATAGGTAGACCGAGGTGGGACCTATTGGTAGGAGGGAAGCAGCGAGAACCACCCTTCTTCAGCCGTGTTCCGCAACGGTGGGAGCTCCAATCAGCACCGTGATCGTGAAGAATGTGTGCCGAGAATCAAACGGGGACAAAGTTGAACGACCACCAGCTTTGGAGTATCAGGATGTACCGCCCAGATTCGGTTGTTTTAAGCCGTGTAAGCCGAGCTCATGACCAGCCGTTTTGGCCACAGAACAGTTTTTGACACCAAGATAAACAAATTTGACGATTTCATGGCATGCTTTTGTAGGAGACTTAGGTGCGCACGTGATTTGGCTAACACAACGCGACAGCCAGGTGTTTCGGGAACAGGCAGAAACTCTTAGACGCTCTAAAGAAATAAAATAAATCGTTCAGCTGTAACACCCTTCCGGTGCCTAGCTGCCATGCAACCCAGGAGAGGCATGAGGGCTGAGATACTGCCAGGTTGCCCAAGCCTAGACAGGTGAAGTCGGGATTCAGAGGTCGGGTTCGAACCACGGACCTTCCGGTCAGCAAATTCGCGCCCCAACTACTTGAACCACCTCGCCCTTAGACGCTCTATAAAAACTCATAATGCTCCAGGGTGGTTGTGAGCACCAACGAATTTGTGGAATTTCAGTGCAAGTTGTGGCACCGAAGTCAAACCCCCTCTCCTTCTCCGGAAAACCCCTTGAACTTAGACACGTTTTCAGTTTCTGCTCACGAACTATTGCCGGCGTAAGCACGCCTTCCAATCTGTCGAAGTGTGTGAGAGTGACAAACGCGGAAAGATCATAGTGGTCATGAGGGAATGACCAGACCGCTGAGATAATCAGTACAGATTATCGTAGGTGCATGGGATCGCAGCAATGGGTTGATGGTGAGCACATCTATCAATTTCATGTGCTTCGGTCACGGGTCAGGTTTTTGTGCCCAGATTACCGCGCAGCAAAAGCCGTAATTTATTCCTAACTTCCTGAACATATGGGAATGCGTGGCCTGCATATTGCACAAATTAACGAGTGATCAAGGAACGGTGATCAAGGAACAGTTCCATATCGGGTTTTGAATCCGACCACTGAAACGTTTCCATCAGTAAGAAAGACCTGACTTTGGGCTACCAGCATGAAAAGGAAACTAGTAGGGAATATATTCCGAATTTTAATTGCAGGATAGATCATGTACGCTCAGCGCACTGTATGCTGCTTGATGTTTGGGAGTTGTTAACTGACGACGTTATTCGGCAATGTCTTCACATTAAGAGAGGGCATTAAACGTGCAACTTTTCTTTCTAATCCTCGTGTGTAACGACTCCAACTCCATCTAATTGAAGCCTCATTCAGATAGTCTGCTGGACGACAATGAGTAGAGTGGTGACGCTCCATTCATATTCAGTGTTGTTGAATGAATAGAAGTTTTCTGCTCTCTTAACCTTTAAATTATGAGTATTCCCCATGAGACTGGATTTGGAATGAAGCGGCAGTGTAGAAACATGCTACATGTTAGTAGTTGTCGATAAGGTCTACTGAACACTGCAGTATAGTCTCCCCGAATATGGATAGAGCTACTACAACACACAATATTGTTCGGAAAACTTCAGTAAGGCTGGAGACTGACGCTTTTTGTCAGCCGATGGTATGGATTTGAGTTGCTAGCACTTCGATTACACAACCCTGGCTGGAAGACGTTTGTCGAATCTCGGCTGCCTTTGGTGGCAATTTTAACTGGGCACATGCTGCAGCCAATAGCAGGCTACATCCCTAAAGCAGCAAATTCACCGTAGATAGCTCCCCGTTTCAGTGCCTATCAGTGACAGATTAGCTTTCGGTTTCTACGTGTTGTCCGTTGTAGCCATACAAATTAAATATAAAGAGACGGATTCTCAATGGAACAGATCAATGCTTAAAATCGTTATATAGATAAATAGAATGAATGGGCGTCAGCCCACTTAACCCGCATGATGCTGTTGTCTCCATCCACTGTACATGAAAACAACAAGTATTGATTTAGGTGTGTTGGAGGGATGGGACTGATGTGACCGTGGTGACAGGAACCTGTTCACTTGCAGTCACTCCGGGCGACTTCCTGCAAAGTGGAAGCAAACCAGTCAGGCAACCAATTAAAATGGTGCTCAACAGAGATCGACCTTTGTCTCAGTTCAGGACAGAAGACTGAGTTTCTTGCGATTAAAAGAGCTGATTACAAATGAAGCAGTTGAGTGTGTTTGGTGGTGTAAAGCTCAGGGATTTGGGGGATTTGCAGCGACACGAACACGGGGTCGTGGTAATTGTCTTCAGCTCTCGATCCCATTGTAGTGAGACCTACTTACATTCTCTTCCAAGTTAAATGCCAGCATGCACACTTGGTTCTCCGATATTTACCGCTTTCTTTGGGGGTGTGACAAACAGGACAGAAACTCTGTAATTTAAGGTGCCTATTTTTACACACATGATATGGCCGGTATTCAGTGCAACACTCAATTGGGATTTTCAAAACAGGCCAAGCATTTTACAGTTGTATGGCATAAAACATTTCAGAGTTTTTCTTTTTGGCTTGTTTCAAGCTTAGTTGTTCTACTCGCTCTGACCTCAGCTACACTAAACTCAGTGTTGTGAGCAGCCTCCAACAACAGGGCAGGAAATGTAGACACCTTCATTATTTCTATAAAAAAATACACTTTCTCAGTTTATCTTAACTCAAACGGTTTCATCGCCATCACAGCTGAACTGCATGTCAGTTGACATCATCTCCCCTCAGAGAAAGAAAATACAATGGGTTGGACATATGCGCGGAACTTCAGTCCACATGACATCAGAGAGAATGAAGCCAGTTTTAGCCAGATGGTTGAAGAGAGGCGTCCTGTGCTACCGTATAACAATTCTAAACCTACAGAACTTCGGACGGGTTGAACTGAAGGATTCGTACGTTGTCGGTGTTTACACCTATACACTCGGGTGAATTTTATCATGCTTAAAAAATTAACAATAACCGCAGCAGATCATGCCTCTCAAAAAATCCTGGCCGTATGGTTTGAAGTGACCAATTGTAAGTCATGCTCAGCCACGTAGCCACGTAGCCCTAGCAAAAGTCCGTAGTGTACCCAACGTGGTAGTGAAAAGTTTTACTCAGATCACATTCAGACACTCATTCAGACTGTATCAAAATATTTTCCAGAGGTTTCGAGGCATAACTGTCAATACAAATTGTTGTGACCTATCCTGACTGGTATATTGTTGTCTCAGTTATTGCCCACTTTGCCTGAACTTACCTTATCTTTTACCTATAAGGTTCCATTTAATTTTAAACGTGCTTCTGTTGTTAGCCTCCAAATGCTAAATCAAAAGTGAACAAACGGGTCCCAAAGTTCATCGGCATGTGGCTAACTGGGATTTTTCGCCTCACCTGACTCTGAATAAGTCCTGATGTTCTCAGTATTCACTTGAAGTTTTGTGACATTTCCGTGTACCGCTGTTTGATCGATCACGGAGACCAAAATCGGCAGGAAACCGACTTTTGTGGTACTGTCAACCTAATGAAATTTACGAAAAATTAACTACTGTGTAAGCACTGTATCCAGAAGTGCACGAGCCGTGCGGATGTCATGACCTCGTTTGCCAAGAGTGAAGATGGTGTCGTGTGATGAATTGACAAATTGAACATGATTCGGTGTTTATACATGGCACAGAATGCCCACATAAAGCATAGCCGGCTGTTTACGAATGGTATTCCTTTTCTCATCCTCCCCATCACTGTCATCATCATCATCGTCATCATCTTCATCGTCGTCATCTTCACCGTCACCCTATTCAACATCGTCCTAATGATCATCACCCTCCACCATCAGCGCCTTCAGTTATCAAGTAGTACCGTCTGTGATTTCTAGTTTTAACGGATTAATTTACCACTGATATCGAATTAAGGGAGAAGGATGGACTCGGCACACTTCTGATGTATTCCATAAGTGTGACCGTGGGGCACCCGACTGCTGTGTCCCATTGGTTGCAGACAAATCGTCAAAGCTGATTGACTCTTTCGATTGACATGCGTTTGTCAGGACGAACACAGAAATAACTGGCACAAGTGTTGGCGGAAACATTCAGATGAAAAATACTTAGTCAGAAAGCCTAGGAAATTGGAGTCATAATGTCTACACATGGTTGAACATCAGATTTTCACGAAAACCCTTCTCCGTGAACTGACCAAGCGTGACTGCTTTAAGACTTGAGGTAGATAATTCCTAGTCCATCTGATCTTACAAAATGATTCAACAGGTGGTGCGTTTAACTGTAACCCGCCAATCGGTGTGGCCTTGTTGAATAGCCTTCCCAGAGGAGTGATTCTTGAGGTGTGCTACAAAAGGAGGTAGATGTGCAAACCCTGAATTATGTGCACCATTCAAAGCAGATTTCCGCGTGCCCATACCCGGAGCATATGCATAAGAATAATATGGATGTCAACTTTATTTTCTGCGGAAAACGCAGTAAAATAACTTACAGAGTAGCCTGGAATCAGAAACACAAGCACAAACACAAAGCGGCACGCCTGGTAGTGGAGTTTATTGGTGGGCTGCTCTTCTGGTTGAGCTACCAAGGGCACTCGTCTCCCGTCATGCTAATCCACCTAAACTGCACTGATTCGCAACAATTATATCTAGTGGAAAGGCGTCTGATATCCCTCACCTCCATTCATGATCCTTTGTGTGACTTTCACTATTAAACAGACGTTACTGTCGTCCAGACACCCAATGGATTATGGGTTCAGGGGGATGAACTAGGTGAATGTCAAGCATTCACGGTGGGTAGACCACTTGTCCGGTACGTGGCATCTGTTGGCGGCCTTCTGAGGATTCTGTTACCATAAATATTTAACCTACACAAAAGCTTCTGTGTGAATAAAACGATGTCACTGCTGTAAACGTGTACTTATCTTGGCTGTAGAATATCCGGGATGATTTGCCTTCCAAATTAATTGCCATACCAGTTGTCCTCCGTAAGCGACAAAATGTTCCCATGAAAATGGTGCATATCCGAATATTGGTGTTGTACTCTTTGGATTCGTCTCCTTACTCATTATTGAATTACTTAAAGTTATTTCTATGGCTGATTAAATCCTGACTCCATCGATCAATCTACCCAAATGAAAAATTTTGTCGATATTAATTATTTTTCTCTCTCCGAGATTAGGCTTTTATCAACAGGTCTTGGTAGTATTCCACAGTACAAATTCAAAAGTCCTGGCAGGTAAACTTAGCTGGAACAGATTTGTTCGTTGTTCATTACCTAGGGAGGTGTGTGAACAGGTTCGTCTATATTCGCGTTCCACTAATTGGTAGTGTTGCCAACGATTCCAGTATGCTGTCACAAAGTAAGCCCACAAGCTCTGTTGTTGTGCTTTTCGGTCTTGTCGACAGACGACACGAAGCACACAAATGTCACGTGTGTTTAGTTGCCCAGGCGGTTTGGAAACAAATCTCCGTAAACACTGGTATCATATTGTGGACTAAATTGTGACAACCCGTTTGGTGCACAAAGCCACTATCAGTGGCTTTCCATCTCTTTTACGTTAGGCAAACATGCAAATTAAGGGCGAGCAAGTAGATCATCACTAATTCCAGACCTAGTGGTAACTACGGCAGAACAGGGCTGACAAAAATGCCACACGTTTATTCATACCATTTACTCAACAAGTGCTTTCGGTCCGAACACTGCGAATCTCATGCAGGTTACTTACCGGTCACCCATCAGCAATTTTATTGAAATCCTATGGCTACTGTCTCCGGAATGTTGTGTCTATGAAGAATTTATTTGCGTCTTTGAAATGGTTAGATTAATCGAGACCAAATGAGAGAACTACGAGACGTCTTAGTACTTAACCACAATGTCACGCCCATTAAAGGATCTTTGGGAACTTGTATACTTTTATTTTGCAAGTTTGTGCTAGAGTGATGCTAAGCACCGTTGATTCATCATTTTCCCCACAGCGATTAGGTCAGGTTTGATGAACGACGTAGAAGTAGGGGTTCTCAACTCCTCGAAGACGGTGTACCCCAGTCGACGGAGACGTTTTGCAAGTTTCCTTGCAACCCGATTATGACGAGCACACCTGGCATCATGCGTAATCCAGCAGGATTGCAAAATATGCACCAAACAAACAAATCAGTGTTGCTATGGCAACAAGGAATTAAGTTGAAAAATAACCTTAATACTAGTGACGATGATAACTCTGCTACCGATGACGATAATGGAAGGAAACTTGGATAGTTATAGCCATCCCGATGGAACTCGACCAATATCCACGCAAGCACCCACGCACACCTTCACCTTTTGCAAATAAAATACTGTCGGAATAATTCTGTTCCTATACTTGAACTGGTGACTGTGGTTTTAGATTCCTGTGAAAGTAAACTGTGCGCTTTAATAGTATCTCGTCACACACGCCGGCAAGGTGAAGTCATAAAAGGTGTTCTAAAATCAAACTGAAATTCATAATTAAATGGAATTAGACAAACTTTTCTCACCTATCTCGGTACTGGTATTATGGGGTTTTGGAGAATGTTTTGTGTTGTCGAGCAACCAGCCAATTCGTTGTCTTTATACAAGAAACTGTTAGCTTTACCCATAATCTTGCAACTCCTGTGTCATGAGCGACTGAATTTTCACCAATCTAATTTGAACCCATTTTCTGAAACTCTGGAAAGACGGACAGACTGTCTTTTAAACAATTCGCACTTTGCCATCGTGACAATACTGGCTACAGGATGATCTCATTTGTTTAGACTCGAATTTTGTCTTTTTCTACATCTCCACTAGGTGACTATTAAGTTTCTACCATTAACCTGCCCTCTAGTAAGAATTGTATACTTGTTACACGATTGTCAAATTCTCTCAATTTGGTGCAAATTCCGGCTGTACAAATTAGCTAGTTAAACGATGCCTGTTAGCAGTTGGACATTTCGTTACAATGGGGTGGCCGAATAGCAGTCGAACAGCAGTGACAACAGCAGCAGTTAATGAGGACACGGTTTTTGGGCAATTTTGGAAATTCCAATTCCCGTTCAGACAGGTGGATAATTGGCCAAGCAACTAAGACAACCACGTCCACTCCCCCATTGTTTGATGGGCAGGGACAGTTGCTCGGAATACAGGTAGCACTGGAACTGAACGGCTCCATGTTTTGGTGGTGAGGGATAATTTCACTGGTCCATTTGTCCTGTGTGAAAATACCATGGGTAAATTTCAACGCAAAACTTTCCTTGGCCGGAAAAAATTCCGTCGATACTATCTCATTTTGATATATGCTGTACAAATGAAAGAAACACGACTAAATATACTTTGCCTAATTAGAAAGCCTGCTGCAAATTGTCATACTTCCTTTGAATGCCTCTCAGAATTCGGCAGGAATACACACACAGAGTTTGCGTGTGAGGAGCGGAACATTTAACTTAGATATATGGAAATAGAAACACACATTATTGTCGCCAGGGCGATGTTGATAATCTTAGCGTTTATCAGTAGATAACTACAAAGTTTTGAAAAGCACGCATTGTTTTGTAAACATCTTGGGCTTTTTCGCATATGCTGTTAGAATCGACAACGTGTCTTATTATTCCATATATATATATATTAACAAAAAAATAGAATACCATCTGATTTGAGAAAGAACAGTTAAAATATCTGTTATGTGAGTGTGTATGGTAGTGTGTCACATGATCAATATAGGTTCACATAGTGCCAGGTCACCTTGTTGTACCGAGGCTTCTGCAGCTGTTGCCAAGTCATGGTTTCGGTTGTATCGTTGTGTATAGTCGCCCCACAGCCAGTTGTGATAGTGTTCTAGTCTTCAAGATCAGTATATCCGCAATTCGTTGATAAAGTCTGCTCTTTCTTCATCCGATTTTCATGAGTGGATATGATGGGTGATATTCGAACACAGAAAGACAGATAAAGTGACATACATGTCTTTTTTCGTTTCAACTATCATCTGAGTTCGGTTTGTGGCATCAAATCCTGAGATAGCTAACTTGCAGTCTCGAACACGCCTGCATCAGGAACCTGAGGGCATTGTGTCTAAACCGATGTATAGTGTAATTCATGTTCATGACCCCAAACTTAGTGCTTAAGTGGACTGGAAAAACAAAGGCTAACATTCCATCCAGTCAACCAGCCAGAATTCGCCACACCGGTCTTGGGTGAGATATCCGGAACACACTTTCGTAAACTTAGACTCGATAAAAGGAGGCTAGGTTTTATTTTTCAACCAGTATTACATGGAATCTATCCTTTCAAACATTACACTAACAGCATCCGTCACTGTGGGTCTTTATACATGACGTAACTTTTGAGTCACACTAGACATTTTCTATGCTGTAGCCTTGGCCCTTTGTAATCGATTCCTGATGTAATCGATATCTGATGCATATGGTTTCACTTCGGTTATTCGCGCTCAGTACATAAGCTCGGTCTGTGACCGTCCGAACTGTCACTGAGCTAGTCGCGTCCTTTAAAAAATTGTACGTTTATATTTTTGATTGCTCCAGAGTTTGCCTATCCGGATTTTGATCTGGGCGATTTGATAAACCATTCTAAATTCACTATGAAACAAATATTCAACCACTGAGTATCTTTGGAGAAGTGTAATCCATGCAGAATTGAACCGCTATTCGACCATTCAGAATGCAAACTCATCACTTCCTCTGTATATAGTTCCCAATGTGATTGATGGAGCATCCCTTCGTATGGTCACGAGAAGATTCACTTTAGTTTTCCTAAGTTGGCAGGACAGAAACCAAATTGTGTTTCATAGCATCAAGGAGAGTCCTTGAAAATGAATCGCTTCTCCTTTCGTCTTCATTCGACATGTGATCATCAAGTGTGGGTTTAATTGAATTTCCAACGTGATTAGGTTTCTCGTGGGTAGGAAAATCTTGACATCTCGTTAGGAGCTTACCAGGCGTTTATCAGCCGGTGATGAGATTTAAAGTTTGAATGTCTATTTGTTACTCTTCAATGAGCACGAGGAGGCAATGAAGTCAGTCAGTGGGCATCAAAGAATGACACCTAGAGGCGGATAATCTGCAACAGGTTGAGCGAGAATGTACGAAAACAACATAGTTCCCCTTGTCAGAGATGACTGATTCCTTCATCAGGATGCGGTCAAGCACAGCAAACTTAATAAACTAAACGTTATCGAGAAGTGTCTAAAACGATTCATTTGTGAAAGTCTGCTGAGGAGGAAAGAACTGAGTTCATGTGGCCATGAGTATGATTTTTATTTATGCTAAAACGACGCGCTTCATTTTTTGGATTCGTAGGTTCCTCATCGGATTTTCAGCAGTTAGTGTTTGTTGAGAAACCAGCCTCCCCAGATATAGTTACATGGGCTCACTAACGAATGTGTGTGGCATTTTTTCGTGTTTCACAAGACATGCGAGGGACAAACAGTTAGAGGACCTCATTTTGTTGACTAAATAGACATATACTGACAAAGGTAACCTGTAAAAACGGTTTTACACCTTAGTATGATTCTTTGGGTCGTACTGGCCAATAAACAGAGAATTCGGTTTAGCGGAGCATCATTTTGGGTACTCGTTCCCCAATAATAGCAGAGGCGTTCACGTTTAGTTGCATTTTATTCAAAGAAGAAATTCCAGGAGAGGCTAATCTGATGCTTTGTATCTCCACTCTTTTTATCCGAATCAATAACACAAATAAGGCTTACTTGCACAAAGGTTTTGGTAAAATTTTGCCGATTTCAGCTTATGGCTTACTTTTATCCAAATTTCTCTTGGCAGATCGTTTTAACTGAGCTCAACAAAGGTTTTAATGTGATGCAATAGTGAGTAGTTCAAGCATAACCGACGAATAAATTACCTCAATCAAATGTTGGCAATTCCAGCACATTTTCGAGAGAATCTATGAGGTAGAGCTGTTTGTTCATACGCACTGTGTAAAAGTTCGTCCACTCTGACATAACCTCAATGATGCAGAAACTCCGAATCTAAAGCAAAAGGGTGAACTAGCACGCAGATTCCTATACCCTATGTGATGCCACTGATTCCAATGCATCATTACAACGCTACTCACTGTGTTTCACAAGCTACAGACAAATATTCCCACATTAGGTGAAATATTAATTCTGACCTCTTGGGTAGATTTATCTTTGCGTAGCTTGGCTGACGGGGAAGTGGAGAAATTCCCTGATCAATAGAAAAAACCTAGTGCTATTTACTCACTTGAAATCAACAGTCTCACAGGCTAGTTATTGATTGTTCACTGTGGAAACCTGACCCTACCTGGGGATAGTATTTTCGGTTTGTTTCGAAAACATAATTCCCTGCTAACGTTCATTTGGCCTTCACACACCTCTCGTCTGCAGAACGTCGGCTCATTGAATGCTTAAGTTTGAGTTAAGTGACCCAGTGTTATTTGTTATTTCATTCTCGCTTCCTTCACTTTCACCTATCGGTCAGCAGACTATGGTTGTCCCGGAAGAACAACAATGCTCATTTTGTAGATTTTCAAGGCAAAACGAAAACACCCTATACCACAATTTCCCATAGAAAGGAATACCACAGATCCATAACCATGTTCGTTCACTTCATCAGATGTCGCGGATAAGTTAGTGAGATCATTCACCAGAATGGTTCTCTACAGATACTCGCAGCAATTAAATGGATTGAAAACCGCCACTTTCCTACATGAACGGCATTCCGAGTAGGTAATTTTGATCAAGATTTGTGCTTCCGTTGTCGACTGGCCTGCGACTGATTTTTACTAACAATTAATAACGGGTCTTTTACAAGATAACCTATGAGACCACCTCAGGAAAAAGTTAGCGGTCTCAGTTATCACCTTCTGCTGTAAAAGCTCCGCACCAAGTAATGTACTTTGGTGAGGCCTCAAGCAACAGTTGGCAGTCACAAGTTCGATTGTGAGCTTTGCCTCACAATGTAAAAAAAACAGATTTTCGAACCCAATCCTTCAAAGATGTGCCAAAGAATTGTGCTTTAGTTCAACCTTCTATACCCAGACAGTGAGAATTTGTGAAATGCGGCTCGGACGGCTGAGGACTAACAAACGTCTGAACAGAATTTTAAATTCTGAATTTGACCCCTAATACGCTCAGGCTCCTGTCAAACTTAGATATCAAATTCGAAATTGATCGTCTGGTTTTGCCTAGTTCTTGGATTATTGGTCTTTTGAAAGAGATCTCTATGACTTAGATGGGTTTTTCATTTTCAGCATATGACAGTGCTCTCCAGACGGTAGGTAAACGGCGTTTAAAATCCAGAGAGCACTGCACAGTGATTCATTGTGATTCACTAGAAATCTTTCCTATCTAAAACGCTGATTCCTCCGGCTGATTTCAACATCAACATTCAGTGTCACGGCGCAAGCCTACATGGAAGGGATAGTGGATTAACAAGCCAGTTTCTATTCAGTGCTTCAAAAACGTTCATAGAACCAGATTAGTTTGCTCACTGGTCGCACTGAATGGGGGGATTCAGTTGCTAAAAATTTTGTAAAGGTTAACCGAATGTATTTATTAAAACGCATCTGGAGGCACGTGATAAGCTGATTAAAAATTGAGCGTCTAAAAAGTCCGGCAGTGGTACACTAATTTTATTGAAAATGATGTTGGATATCATACTATGATGGACACTATCATGTGTGACAGTCTGAAACCGTACAAAAGGGTAATCCAAGTCAGGCTTTTCCGCTAGCCTTTGTATCTATCAGCTTAACTGTAGTTGAGGTGTGGTTCAACTGGACAGAATTGAGAGGAGACTGGAAAGACGGGTCAAAGAATTTTTCCCGAAGGAACTTTTATACTATTTCGTGATGCAACCATTTCAGGAGATATAAAGTTAGGTTCACCGATAACAAATTTCTTGATTGCAACCAAGTCAAATTTTGGTTTTAACTCATCATCGCAGGTTATTAGAAGGGCTAATCTGGCCAGAACGACTGAAACTTCTTGAGGTCAGTCAATCAGAATCAGTCCTGTGCGCCCGAGGCGGCTTGAGAGGGATACTGAAGTTATCACTGTGTTTTTGACACGTCTGTTGCTACCTACTAAGGGATCTCATTGTGACTGTCATTTGTTTGTTCGCCTATTTTATCCTGTTTTACACTTCTTTCGGTGGATGAGCGTGTGTGAAATTAATTTATCTCGTATCTGTGGTGTTCGTATCGTATGCTTCTTCATGCGTCAGTTGACCATAATCTTTGCAACAAAGCTGAACCCTAGGTCATTTGGGGAGACTGCGGTTACCGCATTTGTTTGAGAATGGATACCGTAAGGAAATAGTTCCCATCGATCTTGTGACTAGCAGAACAAGAATGACATATATATATATATATATATATATATATATATATATATATATATGAACAAAAAAGATATATATATATATATATATATATATATATATATATATACGTACACGTATGTGCATAACACATTGTCGACGGCAGAAATCCATCACTGTTATCTGAGGAAGCATAGTCGCTCAATACGCACCTTATGGGTGACATGAAAGTCGCTGATTTGGGTTAACAGGTAACCTGTTCTGGTTTTATGGGTTCTCTGTTTATTTCCGTTTGCAGTCCCTTCAGTGAGTTTTAGCTGGTCTGTGTTTCATGTACATATCTTCTGCTGTCCCGCCCCAATATGGGCGGTTGAAGAGATGACCCCCAGTATCCATCTTTACATTGGCTAAATTGTATGATGGGCAGCTCTAGATTATCATAGTTCTGACCAAGATGCACCTTATCAATGGTATGGACGAACAGTTCCTCCCTCGCATACAGCGTGGGCTCCAACTGTTCATCACCCACCTCCATTTGGTTTGACGATTGTGGGGTATCAGTTGGGCGAGTTTGATGGTTGTAGAACTGACCTCTCTTTTTCATTCATTAGTCTAATTCCTCAGTTTACACTGGGCGCAGAGGGTCCGGTTGTATTCGCACGTGGCTTGCCGCATGTGACACCAACTGTCGTTTGCGGATGCCCATAGGAGCGGTTAAGTGGGATGGACAAATGTAGGAAGAGATGCCAGCCCACCATGATATATTACATAGTGTGTTTTGGCAATTTGACGGCCGGTAGGTTGTCCGGGCTTGCAATAGCACTAGAAATACAGTACAGGATATTGTTAAACTACATGTAGAAAAGCCTCATCTTGTCAGCTATGGATAAACGTCAACGAATGTCGTCATTATTTCTTAGCAAGGACTGTGGTACTGAGGTTTTATAGGACCACAAAAAGGAGTGTTAAGACCCCGAGAAAGCTATTCAGATTAACCATACAAATAGCTGGTTTCGAGTATCAGTTCGATCGCAGTTTCACTGAGGCGCAAAAGGTAAATTACGTTCAGTCAGCAGCGTAATTTTACACCTTCACTTAACTCCTCAACGCGGACCAATGTGATACAGGACTACATCTTTTCACTGCTTTAAAAACCTTGAAATTAAGCCATTGTTTCATGTGAAACTGAGATTTGCATATCTTCTTATACAGCCACAACTTGTTTGACTCCGTGAGCTTATAGAGATATCAGACCTCAATTAGACGCAGTGTACAGATGTCACAATTATCTACGCACACCCATATTTTTCGTGACAAACTCTGCTGATTACTGGGATGTCATTCGTCACTCCCATGGTGGGCGTTGAACTTGGCCGTCTTAGGCCTTAAATATGATGCCATTTTACAGAGAAGTAAAGTAGTACACCTTCTCACTAAGGCTATCTGGATTAATTCTCTTAAGATAGTCAGAATAGGATGCTTCGCCTACGAGATTTCAAATCTTAATGAAGCCAAAGATGACTATTGTACTTTCACGTTGAACTGAATTTCTTGAGACATACGTGTTTTTCAATGGACATAGTGTTAATTGTTGCGCATATGTTTCAAAACAGGCAAAGTAGCTTCTTTAAGTTTTTTTAAAGATACATATCTGGCACTAATACTGAAGGCTGAGAGCAAGTATGAGGGAATGCAATTAAAGTTGCAATGTGCTCTGATATTCTATTAAAAATAGAAGGAACCATTTTGTCCAAAGACCTTCAAAACTCTCATGGAGGTACTCAATTGGTGTATATTATTTTTCACTTTCAGACTCGTACACTGTTCACTGAAAATAAAATCAAGCAGTTCTAATGAATCGTTGCCATGATATTTCCGAAAACAGGTTAATATTGGAAATAGTTGTTGTGGTTCCGTTTCCTGTTATCCTTTGTTCATTTCTCGTCACCTGCCCTTCTAAAGTAATAGGTATTTCTAATCGAAATATGCAGATAGAGAATTATTTCTGCTTTATTTTTAAAGGTCCTCGGATACGAAAACCTCGGAGGTCTCTCCAGCAAGAAGAGATCAACTTGAAACGGCCTAGAACTTCATTCACAAACGTCCAGTTAAAGCGACTAGCCAAAGAATTCGAGGTGAACCGGTAAGTGACGTGGCTTGCCACTTACGACTTTCAAAGATCCCAAGACCATAGATGTAATGCACTACTCATAAAATTAAGAATATCATAAACCGTGAAAACCAGATTGGAATTCAAATAAATGCCTTACACTAAGGTCATGATTTAGATAGTACTTTCTGAACAAAAGAATACAAACACGCAGAAATGCACAAAACGAATGCTATGTAATACTGCCAAGGACTCGCGATTATTTAAATCCTCTATTAATTTGTACATTTAGAGTAAATCACAACCACCTCTAGGCTGGTAAAAGGCACCGTGAACCGAATCTGTCCCACCGGGCAATTTTGTGACCTTGGCAGCGTGTTTGGGTATTGGTAGCTTGTGTGGTGTAGTTGACTATTGATCAGGGGGCAGTTGATTCGTTCGCCGAGCTTGGGTTGCAAACGTTTCGTCATCGTAATAGGAGGCATTGTCAGTGGATGATTGGGTGATTTGTTTAAACAGGTTTAACAGCATCGTTTCAGAGGGGTTTGGTAAACAATCGGTGGATTTATTGCTGGGCAACGTCTCGCTTTTGACACAAAAGCTTCGTCAGGCCAAGTGAGTAAGTAAGTAGGTTGATTGGGTTTTAAGGCAGTCAGGGAACCAATCCGTGAGATTCCTTATGACTAGTGACGTGATCAGTGCTGGGTGTTCAGTCTGATGTCCCTGTTTGTTGATTAGTGGGATGACTAAGCTTTACGACAGATCGGTTAAGGGGGGTTCGTCTTTATGATGAACCCGGATTTTTTTGTCACTGCTTCTTCAGTCTAGGACACCTTAATGGAAAATTCCTCTTGGGGTCGTTCACAGATTTCGTTCTACCAACCTCTTAGGACAGAAGAACTCCAAAGCAGTCAAGCTCAAAGCCGTACAAGAAACCAGAAAATAAATTAATGGTAGCCACTGATAAGACAAAACCGGACAAAAGCCAAGACCAGTGGAGCATAAACTAAAATCGAAGATGAATCAGTAGGTCGTAATACCCAGCAATATTTTAACTGGAGCTTGCGTCAAACAAAAGGATGCCTTATAAACCTGTCAGAAACCAAAACAAAACCGATATGGTAACCTGGCTGATCAAATCGGAGAAAGTAAACTGCTGCTGAGAACATCAAAACCGAGAGATTCAGCTGGGTTCTAGGTGAGTCTCGCAAAACCAAGGTTGTTTGCAAATGAGTGTATTACGTTGAACTACTGCAACTTAGAAGAAGCATGCTATAAAGCAGCGGATATCGAAGTTTTCATTAGTTCTCTAATGCAATTTTACTGCAATGCCTTCCTCGCTAAGAAGATGTGTCACGTAACGGGGTTTGAAGTGATATTTCAACTCTCTCCGCAATTTTGGGATAAGCCACTTTCCCCAGTGGTAACTTCAGACAAACTTTCCAACAAAACCTGTTCTGGTTAACAGCTTTCAATTCGCCACTCAGTGCAAAGAACATAGAAGGAAAGAGAAGGGAATGGAAAAATAAAATGAAACAAAAAGTTAGACGGAATAAAAATTTTTTAGATCTGGAGGTTCCGAAAGTACATTCTGTATGAAACCGATCTCGCACATGGGGGCAGACAGCGGAGATTCCTCCTTTGCTGCTGTTTGTGGTAAATTTCAGTAGCGAGAAAGAGAAAGGATAAAAACGTGGCTCCTGCTGTAATATTAGAATGAGAAACACCCGAAAATTCAGACTTCGGGCATGGGTTTTCCCAAATTGCTGCACGGCCGAATGTTGAGTCGTGTGGAACTTCAGAAAGGTACTCCGATAAAATGAGTAAGTTATGAACTGAACGCCTTTCGTTAATGAGGTGGATGATCGAGAAACGCGTGAATCCTGACACCGTAGTGGAGAGAGGTGGACTTAGGAAGTAGTATGATAAGAGTCAAATGCTCTTGTCTGTCGGAGCGGAAAAACAGATCCATGTTTGTCAGTGGCCGACTCGCAGTGACAGAGCCGGAGAAGACGAACTGTTTGGCTTGACCGCTCGGTCGACAATAAGCCGAAACGGCTTATTCTCACTCTCACTCATACTCGTTCCTCTTTCCGGGGAAAATAACATATACATACATATATTTTTATATCATTCTACCGTAAGTTTCTGGTGCACTCATTTTTTACGCTCCAGAAACTGGTAGTTGGTGTGTCATGCTCACCTTTACACGGAAGTAAAAAGACACGAATGTTGGTACACCAAGAAAGGCTCGCGTCTTGCCCGCCCCAACTTCAATTGAAACATTTTGCGTAAGAAATTGGACGAAGTTCTCAATGAAACATATTTTGTTTGGTTAGGAATGGAAGTTACGCTTCCAAAAATATTTGACAGGGGAGTTTCTAAAGTCGCATACCGACGACTGAACTAAGTGACGTGCAAAATATACCAGACTTTCAATGGTTGCGATCCAAGTGGTTTCTAATGCATACAAGTTCAAAAGTTGCTGTCATCTTATGTCAGGGTAGTTGTGTTATTGAGCGCTCGATGACTGAGTACTCGTTGTTGCCAGCAATGTATTCTGGACTTATATATCACAGTACCTCAACAGATAACTATTGAGGCAGTTCTGAGAAAATCACTTGTCCTAGAATTGACCTTATGCTCACACATTTTAACAAGTGGAATTTTTTATCTGGCACTCTACCGCCTCTATATAACCGATCGTTATTTTGGGTTCATAGAGGAGCATGAACCTAGTTATCACGCACAGACAAATTGAACGAAATCTCACCCAAAAGCACCACCGCTCAGACAATGTTCAAAATTTATCAGCCAGATGGATGCCTGACGAACGCGATCGATACACAGATCTGCACACTCGAACTCGCACCACTTCAGGCCTCCAGTAGTTTTTCCTGTTTCGTTAGGGATTAGGCATGAATGCACTGTTTTCACAGTCTTTGAAATATTTAGCCGGTCACTAAAATGTTGAAACTTTAATAGATTCACATACTATTCAAAGCCAGTTCGTGCCAAACTCATGCAGCTGAGTTTTTACTACTGGCAAATATCGTACTCATTGAATCAAGCAAGACCGTTGTGACCTTCGTCATTTGTTTCACCTGAAATTTCAACATAATTCTAATTTTACCGCTTCGGCAACCACATCTACCTTTCGCCTGTACCAAACTACGAAACTCTTGCAAGGTGATCTAATACTCACGTTTTTATGTAGTTCAATCTGATTTTCTGTCACCAAGACCATGTGAATTCACATTCAGTAAGGTGGCTATTAATTGTGGCCATTATTCCGCCCACTTTCATCTGTCACATCCTGTCGTGTCCGTCACCGATCCTCTATTATCCGTACTAAAATATACAGTTAAAGTTAATGACATTTTTCCTTTCCCTAGCACAGCATTTATAGGGTTACCGAAAACTTATGAGCAGCCCACCATGAGTTTCGTCATTGTTTGGACTCATATGGTAGTTGGTTCTCCAGTCTTCATTAACTTTATGATTTCTTGAGGTTCATTTGGTCCTGTGAATAACAAAACGGTAAACTCTAAATGAAGATCTTTGCTAGTCGTATAAAATTGAGTGTTTCGGCTAACTGAAACCTGGAGAATACGCTTTTCTGTTGTGCTCCAGGAAAGGCAACCTTATAGGTAAAATGTGACGTCAAGGAAATGTACATTGTCATCTCAAATGTCATACCAACTGAAATATGGAACGGCGTTTCGAGGCACTCATTTAACAAATATTATAATTAGGGGATTCATTTGAATGCACGTCTCTTCCCTTTAGAGAAGTCCACTTAGGTGCGATGGACGGGAGCGCTTGACTGACTTACTAGAGTCATGCCACTTCCTGCGTTCACCTTCCCCACTACGGTGTCCGTATTCACACGTTTGTCGATCATCCACCTTGTTTTTTGCTGTGTCCAGGTAACTGAGCGAACAGGCTTACCGCATTTTGTGCATGCGGCAAATTATCTTGGAAGATGATAAAATGTTACTAAGACATTTCAAAATAGACCTAATTACAGTGTGAAATTAATCTTCGGATATCTACTGTGACCACTAGAGACTGACTATCCGACGGGTACGTATTTCATCCTCCATATATTCCGAAAATATTAATAGAACGAATAAAGGAGTTCTTCTTGTTTATTAAGAAATCACCAGATTGCTGTTTTTTTAATTCCATGGCGCATCATTAGTGATTTTAGTACACTTGTGGTTCAAATAACTTGAGTATTCTGCGTTCCACATGACGGCATGTAGTTTAACAACTGGTAAAATTTGTTTTGTATGCACAAAAGGGGCACTGAGAAGAGTCCAGCAATCTTAAATTTCTTAATGGTCTTCATAAACTAATGATTGCCCATTCCGCAAACAACCAGCCACTATATTACATCCAATTACTATGGAAATCAAGCATTGTTTTTAATATTTGTACCTGCACTGAAGACTGCTTGCTTGATGATTTCTCTTAGATTAAATTAGCAACCAATAGATGAGCGATCAGTGCCCGTAGGATTTCCATCCTGGTTGAATGAAATTAGTAGGTATTACCAGGCTGTCGTGAACTTGTGTGGCTACAAGTCAGTTCATCAGCATTCTCTTCCGGGGTTCACGCGCATTGGGACAGAGGGTACACTATTCCCCCGAGAGAAGTCATTCAGATGGGGATACCAGTTTTTAGTAGATGGATTTGTTCGAATTACAAGAGATCCTTTAGGAAACAAATGAAATTTTAAAAAAGTCGGAAGAAATTTAAAAACTCGTCGCAGGCACAGCTGATAAAACATTCTTCAATGCTAATGATACCTTCTCGTCTGGAGAGCTCTAGTGTTTACACAAACCGCTATTCTTTGGAACCGTGCACAGTTGCAATACTGGTTGAAGGTAGGTGATTTGGAAAACTGCATGAATGAATAGCCGATAGTACAGTGAGTATCAAGTTTTCATGCAATTCCATCATTTTACTCGTTATAGAAGCATGTATTTTTGTCATGGATCTTCTTGCTTGTTGTTTCTAACACGACTTTATCCCATAAACGGGAATCACTGGTGATAACCTAGGCCTAGAGTACCATAAAATTGCACCTCAGTCAACAGTATATATCAGTCGTGGACATGTGTAGCCACGGAGCAGCCGTCGAGTACATTTATGGCAAAATGAGAAACCACCCCGTGCTTCAAGCAATGTATACGAAACAGCCGATAACAAATGATGGCTCAATGCCTTGGCACAGAAGACGTCCGATACGGTTCTCAGAGGTAATCATCCCACGATTAAAGGTCATTCAGGCCCCTGAAGCTCGCTCAAGGTGAAATACTGTCACGTCATACTAGACTGGGTCTGAGTAAGTTGAGCGGTGGGTGGATTCTAGGGCAACGAGGTGTCGGACATGTTCGCGTGCACACCTTGTGTGTGATCGTAATTACTATCTTATCAGCTGCATGCGGAAAAGTATTTCATCCTGTAAGTGAAGCCAATCTATGCTGAAAAGCTGAGAAGCACTGTACAGCTGTTTCATCCTCATTGGGAATCATCAGCAGTGCGCATCTCATGAAACTCCGAAGAGTCTCGAACCCGCGACCTCCCGGCTAGTAGTTTGAACACTTAACCGTTCGGCCCTAGATGCTATTCAACGTCCATTATTTTTCACTAGATCTGCGATCTGCTTCTCATTTATTATTACGTTATTATCACATACTAGTTTACCATCTCCATTGAAAAGTCTTCCAGATGTATTTACAGATGTCACATGCTGTCTGAGATAGAGTTTCTCAATCTGAACTGCTAAAAATCTACCAAACTTTTTACACTTTACAAGTACAACAAATCCCAGAAAGAGAACCGTTGAAGGGAGCATTTTGGGGAGTAGGTCCCATTTATCGTTGTTCCTTCGTTCAACCTCAAGGATTAATGGATGCTTATACCGAACGAACGTCTTGTTAACTTTTCTACCGAGCTGTTATCGCATAGCCCAGAACCGTGAGGAAAATCTACTAGCTACTAACGTAAAAAGCGGTTTTCAGGTTCTTGCTTTAGGAGTGCGGTTGTACTGTGACTAACTTTGTCTAAGGCTAAGTGTTTGGGTAGCGTCTCATAGCTCAGGAGATCAATTCGTATTCGTTAGCATTCAACAAGTAAAGTAGAAGATATGCTATGTTAACCAGTGACAGATATTGTTGTGATCCATTTCGGGTTCGGGAAAATTAGAGCGAGTTGAACCACTGTTCCCAACCGAGTGGGACACAGTTACTAGTATACTTGTTAACTACACGGCTATAATCCAAACACTTATTTTCGTGTTCAGTCTAATTTTCACAGATAAACCTCCCCGAGTATTTTTGTTTTAGTTTTCACTTTAATAAACTTTTAAGGTGAATTCACAAGAACATTTATTCTATTTACAGATATCTGGATGAAACTCGTCGGAAAAGTCTTGCAAAGGAACTGAATCTGAGAGAATCCCAAGTAAAGATTTGGTTTCAGAATAAAAGAGCAAAAACGAAAAAGGTGAGCTGAACCGTCCTTTAGTCTGAGTGGGGAAAACCTAGTTGGCGCTTGGGTGTAACTTTTGATCCAACCAGCTGTTGACTTATGCAGACAATCGCATCGCCAGTGAATAATCAGCTAGTCTTGACTGATTCAACCTCGTGGAGGAACCGATAATGGTGATGATAGTAGGAGGTTTTTACCGAATGGCTGAAGATGCCATTTTCTTTAACAAAAATCTGACATATTGCTCTTCATTAAAATATATAGTTTTAAACCTACCAACTGGAAGTCTACTTCGGGGTACCGTTTGAGAGGATGTTGGCGAGTTTTTAGTCAGGTGTTCTTGATTTGTGTTATTCACTTGGCAGTTATTGGGTTGGCGTCAGAAGTGTGTTTTAATTTGCTCCGAGTATCGGTTGCAAAACGGCAATGAGCTGTCGGACTACAGAGGCGGGAAGTTTCAAACCCGCGAAACTCTTAGTGGGTTATGCACTACTGATGAGACCCAGTATGGACGAGACAGCTTTACAGTGCCTCGTGGCTTTCCAGAATAAATTGACCTCATTTATAGGATAAAGTTTCTATTAGAAGCTTCGTTTCACTCTGCAGACCTTCTTCTGTGAGGCATGACAATTATTGCGTTGTTCAAAACGATCTGTTTTATAGTTGAATTTTTCTCCGATTGAGAGGTTATGAACCTATCTAGCAAGCTCATTTTTGACCACTCATATGCCCTTCTTTTATGTCCATCAAGTTGAAAGGCTACGATAAATCTGATAAATCCGGAAACCCCTTGAACAAAGTAGAATGTATGTAACTTTATCGATCAGCGGACGGTCAAGTTTAAATATAGTTGGGGCTGCCGGCAAGAGGACGAGGTGGCCCAATTCGTTAGAACGCGAAGGTCCTTGGTTCGAATCTGACCTGTGCCTCGCGACTTCCCCTGTCTAGGCTTGGGCAGTATCCCAGCTCCCGTGCAACCTCAGGGTGGCATGGCAGTTAAGCATCTAAACAGTGCTACAGATGAACGAATGTGAAGTGCCGGAAAGAAGATTGACTGATATAATGTAATATATGCATCGATATATATATATATATATATATATATTGATGGAACTCACTATTCACAAGTTTTTTTAAAAACCCTTTGATTTACCAGCCTTGTGTTTACTTAAACGCCGAATTTTTCGTAAATGTCAAATTGTTGTTCCTCAATTCACTTGTTGTTGATTAAAGATTCACCTGAATTGTAACTAACCCTATCGTTTGTGATATTCTTCAGCGCCAAGTTTATTTGCACATGACCGTTTTTCACCACTTCAAGATATATTTCCTACAAGTAGTCACGATTGATTGGAAAAGCGATTTTTGTTAGCTATACACAGCATATTGTTGGTAAAAACTAATGCCACTGGTTCTGCACTTCATGTTCTGTGCTGCCTAATTATTTAGTCCAAACAAAATCTTATGCTTGACAAGACTATTCATACGATGGAGCCACATCAAGGCTGGAGATAAAGAACTGCCCAAATGGGAATATAATACAGTGTACACCTGTGACTGCTGTTTGAAGTGAATTCAGGCCTTATTCTTTTGGAGCTTGCATAGCCGAAGAGAGGGGTTGGTATGCCTAACAGGTTAACACGTTTATTTTTGATGCACTACTCATAAGGGTGGTGAAAATTCGTCGACAGCCCACGACCGGTTTCGCCCATTTTGGGGCTCATCAGGTAGGCACAATCCCCGAGTTTCCATGAGCCTTATGTTCTACTTGAAGCCAAATTGCACAAAACTAGCGAAGTACACTAATTTAAAAACTAATTTGGTTTCTCGAGAGACCCACCTGGAACCCGGCTGAATCAGTCATTTAATATGTTCATAGGCTAACGCACCTCCTATTCAACATTTGAATAAACATTACATTAGAGTAGGCAACAGATGAAGCTGTTCATGTCCCTCGAAACGTATTTTGAGGATAAAGGAAAGTTTTGTAGAATCCGAATGCATTATATGTTTACTCTTTTGGTGGAAGTACAATGTAGGGTCCCTTTTAATTAACAGCCCAATTTATGAAAAATATCGTAATCCAGTATTGACCACATTTTGAACTCTGGGGCTGATTGCTCACAAGTGCATGGATAATCTCCAGTTCTCTTGGATAACTAGGATTTCACGAGCTTCTCCCATCGTTGGTAGAATGGCTATTCAACAACCGAATTGTCCTACTTTCAGATGTACTGCAATGCGGAAAGTATACTGAGTATGAGAACATGTCTGGAAAAATGTGAACCAATCTATTTAAGGGGAGTTTCCTCATCTTGGTCATTGGTTTCTGCAAGTAATGAGTCTTCTTCCAAGTGTATTCCGCCATAGCCCTAGTAACTCAAGTGTCCTGTGTGACAAGCAGCCAACCATAGAGGAGTAGGGAGGTCGTGAATCACATGCCGTGACATTGTCACTACAATATCCATTTTCCTCTCGAGCGTCACCATTAGTCCTCTTGCTCTGTCATGGAGCAGACACATGTAAAAACGTAACCGAATGAATGTCGAAAAAACGAACAAAACTTCAATGTTTTAATCCCTTTTCCTCTTTATTTCCTGTACAATCTCTTTTGTTCACCAGAAGAATTATTTATCAGTAGTGCCATCTCAGTATGCTAATTTCGACTCCACGCGATATCTCCACACCTGAACTGCCGACCCCAGTCCATTTCCATTTTGTTGGCACGGATTCTGCCATTTGGATGTTCTATCACTATTTTTTTACATACGATTTCTAAATTTTTGTCGGAAAATTACCTCCCATCAGGTGTATATCCTAGCTGTCAGCTTAATTTCGGTGGTTTCTCGAAACAAACTCTTATTCCAGCGTCATTGAAGTAGTAGCGGCAATAATATATAAAGTTCAACTACACACAATTTACTACCCAAATAACACTAAAAAGCGGACTAAACTGGGTATTTCACGAAGGTCCCTCTAGGAAACTGACGTGTTTTTGGTGGTATTACAACCATGGTTGACAAAAAGCGCATTCCCACCTCAAGTAGATCGCACTTTTAGTGTAGTCTGTAGAAAGTTTTGACAACGTGTGCGAAACCTGGGCCTAAATTTTACTCATCTAACGAATCGAAAGAACGGGTTGTATGGTGACAACCTCACACAAGGACCAAGTTTGCTAGATACTTGTTATTGTTGGACCATTTACTTACTAGAAGTCGTATGTTCGGTAAAAAATTATCAGGTGATCGAGCACGAGTTTGCTCGCCGCCCGGGAGTGAATTTTGGAACGAAACTACTTCGGGCTTTCATAATCCTGAATAAACTACATACAGATTGTTCCATAAGACGTGGATATAGGGATGATTTTCCAAAGGCGTTTATTTTGTGGACGTGATGGTGGCTCACTACACCTCCGTTTGAAGGCCTACCGATTCGTTTGAGCCCAACATCTATCCTAGTGGCACTTAGCCTTGTCTAACAAGCCATGCGTATGCAAAAAGTGCAAATAGTAACCAAGCAGGCACGCTGAGTCCTCTGTTGTGAGTCCTAATGCAACTTCACAAGTACGCATACAAGCAACAACAAACTGGAGGGATCATGGATCAGAGCTACACTTTCTAACGCTCTGGACATTATTAAAAATATGTCATTCAAGGCAACATTCTGCACTGTCCCATTTTCCCAAGTCACCCACCTGATCAACTTGTGGAAATTCATAAACAACCTCGTTAAACAGAGTTTATGGTGGCAAAACTAACGCTCCGGCTTGGTTAAATCCAAAATGCGAAAATATCTTCATCTAGACAGATGAATCCATACGTTTCCTTCAGCAATTTGCAAACGGTTTTTGCATGCATTCAGTGCAAGATTGATGTAAATCATCTTGCATCGGTCGTACCACAAGGTGACCAACTGTCAGAGACAATCTACAAACACTACTAGCGCCCCTGTTGTAGTCTGGCAGGCAGTGTACCTATTCTCGATTAATCGGCGAAAGCTCGCATGGGCCAGAGCCCTTATTCTTACTATAATGGTTACACATTAACGCAAATTTTGAATCATAGCTGGTTAGCAACAAATGCAGCTTGGTAAAACAGACCACATTGTTTATTGTACCGCTTGATGATCATTTTCATATTTCCAAGTTTGTGTCGTGTAGCTGAAAAATATGCTGTCCGAATTCGGTGACTTTTACTGGCAGCTACTCAGTGAATAAAACTGGTATCGTAATTACAAATGGATCCATCATTTGGTTTGAAGCGTTGGGAGCATTGTTCGATGCGCACGGGTGGGTCTTGTGACCTGCATCATGTTTGTGCTTATCCAGGATCATACATTTGCAAGTTACTGCCAACACTATGTATGACAGTGAAATCTCAACACGAAAATATTCTGCGCCAAACACTAAAAAGGGTTTGTTGAGATGGACGGTGAAGTCGGTGTTAGGCTAATATATACACACCTGGATGGCGCACCTTCTTTGGTGGTTCTTTCAGAGCAATGGTTCATACTTCCACGAAGCTGATGATATTGCGGACGATAATGGTGAGTGGTAGTGTGATAGAACAGAGGCTTTTTGAAGTAAATAAACGCTTGTTATAATTTTCATGCGTGTTTGTCGAAAGGGGGTCTTCTGAACAGAACGTGCTCCAAACGAGGTCGAACTGGGACTTGATCATGAATGTGGATGACTGGATCTTGTTTTTTCCACACTTTCGTGAAACACTAAGACCGAATGCCATTAGGGTCACAAGTTTTTTCGCTGCGTGACAAACGTAAGACACCCTGGACAGATTATTCATTTATAAACGGTACTGTCGCAAATGCATGACCTAAGTGATCCCTTCGTTTCACAATGCTTTGATCACTATTCCAATGCCACCTGTAGGTACCAATTACTTTCTCGTTACTTATGTAGACAACTCACTGCGATGAGATGGCGAGTCATCCTATTCCTCTATTGTTCACGAAGAGGGTAGACGGGTTGCTCAAACATCGAAAACAGACAAATTAATAAGTTGTATTTCTCTTCTAGACTTGTGGAAACGAAGATCGTTTGGCATTTCAACTGATGGCCGAAGGACTTTATAATCATTCGGTCCGCATACGAGCGAATTCCGAGGAGAAAGCTGCCACATCACAATAAGACGTTTCGTTGCAAACTAACGTTCACTTCAGCTTGATTTTCATGTCACCTATACCCCTTACCTTTGCCAGGATATTACTTATAATTTAGACAAACCTGATTGTGTTCATTAATTACTTTGTACAGAATATATAAATTCGTTAACTTTTGAAATATACTTGCGGAGGAAGTAGTCTCTTTGCATTGAGCACTGGCACTCAAATGAAGAAACAACTATCGGGATAAAGCTCTCAATTCAGGATCGGAACTACTCATTTAGATCAGTTAGCCTGCATGGTTTGTGGTTCCATTTGATGTGACAAGTAAAATCCTAAAACCATTGTCCGCCAGTTTAGTATGAAAGCTGGGGTGCTTTTAAATGTAAATGACCAACAAAACCGGAAGCAACAGGGCCACTATGAAATTCCTTTACAATTATGCTTGTTTTTGGTGGCTGCAGCGTTAACCCTTTCTGGATGCCCTTCACCAGATGGTGCTCGGTCTTGGAGAACATGGTAAAGTGGACGCTTTAAGAGACCTTTTTCGCTGCCGAGAAAACGACAAAAACTTCTGCGACACACTATAAACGATATCTGACCAGCGAATTCTAGAAATGTTGGTACAAACGTACACATTAATATATGGCCTAAGCCGAGTTCAAAGCACTTGATTTTTTTCTGCCCGAGAGAAACACCTTAGAAGAGATGGAATTCTGTTATGACATTGTAGGATAAACAGACAGGATGTCGGTTCTTCCTTCAGTCTAGATTGATACAGACTTCACTAACTATTTGATGACGAGTACGACGAATTCCTTGACGTTGTCTACCGTGATTATTCTGTCCGTCCAGCTAATCAGCCACCCTACTACCGTAAGTCTACGTGTCTTGTAAACTTGACTTTGTCGACTTCAATAAGGCTTTCCCGTCTGATTGTAAAACCCCACGAATCAAGCCAGTCGTAGATAGTGGTGAGTTTCAAGTATAGACGTCATCCTTTAAGTGAAATTAATTTGCATTAAGAAACAAGAAGCAGTGTAAAACTGTCTATTACCCACCAAAAGTCATCATCAATGCGCATCTTATGAAACTCCAGATAGCTTCGAACCTGCAAGGTACCGGCCAGTGGTTGCACTTTCAGGTATTCGACCAGAAGCGGCTGCTTACAGTGGCTCAGTCCCGTGGTTCACAGCGAGATATTGCTCACGTGATATAAATCTGGGTACTATAAGAGCAACATGTACATTTACGTTTGTTTGTTCACATATTCATAGGTACCCAGTGGTTCGGCCTGTTTTGACCAAGATATCTTATTGGGGTGTGAGATGTTCATATATTTGATGCTGGCTGCAAGTTAGGAATTATCTTAAAGCATTTCGCTACATCCCCAGTTATATCAACCCTCCCATATTTGTCAACTGTCATCCATATATCTTTTTTGCATGTTTCACATTGATGATACATGGCAACTTACTGAGATGGCATTCGCCGTCCCAAAAAATAAACTGAACCTTAAAAATATTTATTTCAACTTATTTTTAACACATTTAACCCATCCTTGACACCTGGCGTATCCATATTCCAACAGTGCGACTGATTCACATTAAAATGTAAGCAATATTCCTTAGGCAACAAACAATCAAATGGGTGAATTCATGATCCTGTTTTTTTTCAAATTCCTTATTGATAACTTAAAGTATAAGTACTGCTAATGGTGGTGGCGTGTTAGAAGTGAAATCTGATGTATCTTAGCTAGCCCTATTTTGAACCAGCTGTTGGGGTTCGACGTGCTGTCTGAAAACACACGACCCCGCGAAAAACGGGTTTTCTTGCCGTCTCAGATAGTGGAAGGAATAAATAAAACAATTGAGTTCAAAAAAGCGACAAAACGTTGTTGGCTGCAACTGCGGCATTTCCCTTTGACCAGTACAGACTAACTAATGCATCTAATAATTTCTGCAGGGGTTCAAAAGTTGCTGTCCCTAAAATTTGCACAGCCAATTCATCGCTGTTAGGAATCGTCAGCAATGATCATCACAAGGAGCTCTGGGAGGACTCGCTCGCGCCCCTGCCTAGTAGTCGGACATTACGTCGTTGGGCTAAGGGTGACTGCGCAACAGAGAATGCTTACTTCGTCCGAGGCTGCTGTATACTTGAGGTCAAATGGCCTGAGAAATACGAAATCCCCACAGAGCAGACAAAGACTTCGCACGAAATCCTCCGAAATCTTGACAGTGCAGACCGTACAAGCTGGTTTCATTCACTTGGTTCCGCTTCGTCTAAGTATTTATTAACTTTAAAAGTTCAAAAACGAGCCAGCTGTTTTCTTTTATTTCCATGTTGTTTATGGATATAATGCACGCATTATTCACACGTTGAAAAGGACCCTACTTCAGGCACAAATTTCATTTGAAGGCCATCCATTTTTTCTGTGGCTAAGTTGACTTGTTAAACGCGTTAGTTCTGATCTATAATACCGGTCCAAAAGAATTCAGACTGAAATGCTTCTTCAGTGATACAAAGATGCCATTGGTTCGGGTTTCTACCTGTGTCTCTTCTGAGTAAAGCACTCATGAGATGTTTGCTCTGGGTCTGTTGTGCTTGGTGGTCAAATGCGCGCATTTTCACTGCCCATATGTAAACGTAGTTTGGAAATAGGAAGAAGAAAGAACTTTGGTAAGGTTGTTTTAAACAAACACAGAGTTCTGTACAAATTCTGTGGAAAACGGTTGCACGGATTACGGGCCAAACTGCTCCGAACTTCATCCTCCTGGACAGGCGTTCACTACAATACACCTATCTGAAGAAACCAATAGATTACCTTCGACCGTTTTTCCTCCATAAGAAAAAACATATACCAGATTTGTTAATTATTTAAGTGGCATAGAGAAGTCTGATCAGAAGTTAAGCTGGGGTCCAAAATAATCACTAGGAAATCTCTACTTACAGGGTTCGTTCTCGTGGAAGTTAAAAATGTATCTCTGTTGACAGTATTTCCTGTTGCATATTTTCTGCCAGCGAGGAGATGCAGAGGTACGCTCTGCAGTGCATCCCCGCCAACATAATCCAGACGTACAAGATCTTCACATTATAGAATCTTCGGCCAAAGTATCCAGTAAGGACACGAAGCTTTCTGAAGTAGCCTATGGTCTCAGGGGATGATTTTTGATGACTGAATCCAAATTGTCATACCCTTCGTGAAATATTCGTTTGGAAGTATCCAGCAATCTGAGAAACTCTTTGGATAGTTGCCTTTCTAAGAGTCAGGAGCTTAGAAATAAAGATGACTTTAAAGGAACAGTAGTCTTACATTTGTCTGATTCACACCAAAACATGTGTGGTAGTTATCTGGCACAAATCTTCTGGCAGGCTCAAATGTTTTGTTTAAAAGTCGTACAAATTACGGGCCAAGTAGTTTGAAAATTCGACGAAGACACTCATTCGCAAATCAATTTGGTTTTCATGGGAGACTTAAGTGAATCTCTGACTTATGATGTTCTTCAACTGAATGAGCTGTAAACAAGACGCCTCACGTTCAAGAAGAACATAAGGTTGACGGAAACTCAAGAAGTGCGCCCACCTGATGAGCCCCAAGCAAGGCGAAACCGGTGGTGGGCTGTCGAGGAGTTTTCAGCAAACTTGTGAATAGTTTCCTTCAGGAAAATAGTTTAAAACTTGATACTCAGTGAGTGATCACCTTTTGAGAAAAAATACGAAATTCTTCATTTAACCAGTGATAGCTGTCTGTTTTTTAAGGAATATTCATATCTTGAAGAGGCAGAGTCCTGATACTTTTGACCCGAGGAAAAATGTTGGCATTGGAGTCCAAATGGAAGAATCCTAGTAACTCGCTACAGCTGACCAGTTTAACAAGTCTGAACTCAGCTGCCAAGCACAAGATGTCTTGAAAAGTTCAGCCGATTATAAGGGCGTCTCATTTTGTCGAAATTCTCAAAAATAGCGACGAGCTACGGATTGTAATCCAGGCAATATGAATGAAAATGTGGGGGGGGGGAGGATTTGATGGAGGGAGCTTCCAGCGTCATCTGATCATATTCTGGCCAGCTTCTAGAGCGTTTTTAATAGACTATGTAATCTCGACACTTGTGTACAACGATGGGATTTGGAAGCAGGATAGCACTGTGGTGGACCGCGGATGGGGCGGTGCGAAAGTCGGTCAGTTCCGTAGAAGCTTGCCAGCCCACCATATCTGGTGATACCTTATGATATATCAAGGTTGGAATATTTGTGAGCCGTTTATTTCCGAGTCCATAATTCAAATTAATCAGTTACAGTGGAAGGTATTAGGCCCTTAAACATATTTTGGTATGCAGCAGAGAGAATTATGTGTACCGTTTGAGGTACAATTCAGGTGGGGTCACAGGTCAATGCTTTCTCTACGCATGCTACTATCGGGACCAGCTTGAACGGTTGTGTATGGTATTTACAGATTTAATCATGAGTTGACAATATAACTTGTTAGAATGCATCATAATAGTTCTCATTTTACATCTTTTGAACTACATTTCACATGCAAAATTCCATTCACTTGGAATACTCCCAATTGATTAATTATTTACTACTTGCATCGTCCGAGTAGCTACACGGTGCAGCTAAACGGTCATTGCCTCAAAATCTGGAAATGTGGAAGTGGATTTCGCTGGTCGTTATTGTTTCGAGTCTATTCTTTTTTTGATGCACAACTCAGATTTGGATAGCGGATTCGCAACGGCTGTTCGCATGGGAAACGAGGTCTTCATGGTTTACTGAAGCAGCTTCTCGGAGCGTCTGATGAATCCTAAGAATGAAGAAGGCTTCAGCGCTCAAGTGTCTAATTTTTGACGATTAAGAAATGAGCCCGAGTGAATAATATCCGCATTCTGTCGGACTCTGCCCAAAAGTTATGTGCATAAACAAATCATATTTGAAGCACTAAGCTTCTAGTATAGTTATATATATAAATGTATCTGTATAGTTTTATGTAACAAATTCTCTTAGTGGTTCACAGCGCTGTAGGCATTG